AAGCTAACTTCCTCACCTCACTGTGTACATCCGGGGTGACGGCGCCAGGCTTTGTTCACAGCCGTTTGACTGACAGTAAGCGGCACTGACTCTAGTGGGATAGTGGCACTGACTTGGGCAGGATAGTGGCACTGACTGGTGGGATAGTGGCACTGACTCTGGTGGGATACTGGGATAGTGGCATTGACTCGGACGCGGGATATTGACACTAACTCGGACGGACTAATGGCACTGACTCGGGGGAGGGGGGATAGTGGCACTGACTCAGACGGGATAGTGGCACTGACTCGGGGGAGGGGGGGATAGTGTCACTGACTCAGACGGGATAGTGTCACTGACTCGGGCGGGATAGTGGCACTTGCATTGTCACTTGACCTGGCAAACTTATTCCTGAGTTCGACCTTGGACGTTGGTGAGTCTCGACAATTTATAACAACAGCAATAATATAAATAATAATAATAACAAAAACAACAATAACTATGCACCAAAGTCCACTCCATATTATATATAAGGTACATCAAAACAAAGGAACATCAGCGACTATAGAGAATCAAACAACAAAACAAAGGAACATCGACTATAGAGAAACAAACATCAAAACAAAGGAGCATCAACTATAGAGAAACAAACATCAAAACAAAGAAACATCAGCGACTATAGAGAATCAAACACCAAAACAAAGGAACATCAACTATAGAGAAACAAACATCAAAACAAAGAAACATCAGCGACTATAGAGAATCAAACACCAAAACAAAGGAATATCAGCGACTATAAATTAAAATTATATAAACACGGACTTTATACATTATTAGTTACTTCATACCGGATCTTCCTTGTTCACTACTCGCTATAAATGTATAAATAAATATAAACAATATACAAATATGATAATAAGGTTAAGCGTCTAATGGATATATTGGGCTACATCCTTTGGTGAACCGAGATATTGTGCACCATTTTGTCTGTATGTTCGTAGTGTCTGCTTGTATGTACTGAACCAATGTGAATTTACTAAATAACTATCAACCTCTCTATTTATCTCTCCCGTCTCAAAATAACCGTAAGTTACCGTACACAGGACTTATACAAAAATAATAAACCAATAATTAAGTAATACAATCAAACACACAGAGAGAGAGAGAGAGAGAGAGAGAGATAAACTATTCTCTACTTGACTACTCGGTATTTTTCCTGGTACACTGTGAGGCACGGAGCTGGCCTGAGGGAGGGAGGAAACGGGAATGGGAGGTAGCTGGGAGGGGAGGATGGATAGGACTGGATGAGGTGGGTGTATGTGGTGGGGGGTTGATACTTTAAGTCCACCTACAGATAGAGGAAGGCGGGGGGGTAGAGGGGTAGGGGAGTGGGAGAGGTAGGCGGAGGAGTAGGGGAGAGAAGTAGGTGGAGGGGGGGAGGGGGAGGAGTGGGGGAGGGGGTTGATCACGCTACCAGCCACGTCATCATTCACACACACACGCACACCTGGCCATGCTGTCTGTTAAGGTTTAAAAGCTGACAACTAAACTCATCCTGCTTGTCAGATCGAGTGTAGAAATATGACAGTTGAAACACCTATAACAGGAAAGAACCAAAAATATTAAAATAATTTCCTTTTTATCGGTATATTATTATTATTATTACTACTCAATTATCTATCTATCCAAGTCTATCCAACTATATATCTATCCAACTCTCCATCTATCTCTCTATCCAACACTACCTACCTATTCATCCATCCATCCAACTATCTATCTATCCCTCTTTCCAACTATCTATCAACCTGTGTCTACCGTGGCGATAATTAGTCCAACAGTGTAAGGTGTGTGAGTCATAACGCGCCTTTGTTGTCACACTGAAATGAAGATCACCAGTCCCAGGAGAGTTAACAGAGAGAGTTGACACGTACAAACAATGATAAACAAGTACAATTGATCACATAAATGCCACAAAACAAATAGACAAGCAAACACACAAACAACAAACAAGCACAAACAAGCAAACAAGCAAATGACGACCAAGAACAGCTCAATGACATTATATTCCAAATAAATAAATAAATACACTTTTAGTCAGACGAGGAAGGACTGTTACACAGGTGAGTCAGGGAACAGCAGGTGCGAAGAATATTCAATAAACTCACCTTACCTACAGCCTAATCAAAACACCTGTTCAACACCTGTAGCTAAGAGTTTCTGTAGAGCACCTGTCTTTACGGTTGAGTGCAGGTGTAAAGCTTAATGGTATATTTCTTTAGTTTTGGGGGGCTTTGGTTAAGGCTGGTTGGGTTGATTAATCTTTAGGTGAAAACAGAGTGGAGATTCTTCAGGTGTTCAGTTTTAACCTCTATCACAACACAAACACAGAACTTTTTATATAGGAAGAAATAAAAATTCCCTGTACAGTATACCGGGAATCAAACTACTGCCAGTGATTTCTTTAACCAGTTCTTTCTCCTCCTCTTTTTGTTCCTCTCCCTCCCTCCTTCCTCCTCCTCGGTCCACATATATAAAATCCCAAAAGACGATTTACAACTGAATAAAATCCAACTCAGCGATTTACTATAAAAAAAATCTACAACACTACAAACTCGACAAAATCCCTGTAGTGAAGACATTAATTTTAAACATGATAAAAAAACAGCGACAAGAATAAAGTTAAAGTAAAGAATATTTCGTGGTCTTACTAACCCGTTGAAGTACGCTACTGCCAGGGTAACGTAACGCTTATATAGGTGGCGAGGTCTCTCAGTCGGCTAGGAACTCCCACCACCACAAGATGGAAGTAGGGAAGGACTTGTGGGACTAACATAATTATTCAGAACTACGAGCATAATGTTTGTTTCCTGTATACATGTTTGATATATCTTGGATTGGCTAATGCTTGCCCAGTCGTCTCTCATAGATCACATGAAAAAGTACGGCCCCCCCCCCCCGTAATCGTCAATTTCCCAGAACTTTCCTTATCTTATTTGTCACTCAAGACTTAACAGCTGTTTTCAATGTTATCCTCATAAAATTGAATATTAGAGACAAAAACTGGTTAATTTGGTAAACATCAAGGTTTATGATACATATGAGTAGCCCTTCAAGAAAATTACAGTTCCACTTTCCATATTTATCTCAAACTACATTCTATTAACTTAATACACACAAATACTCAGATGATGGATACTGTACAGCACAGAGTTCAAGTTACAAGGTTCACGCCAGTCTCCCTACAGCATAAGAGAAAACCACGTTAACTCATACAGGGGTGACACAAATAAATGGATTCTCATTTGAAATTACACAAACAGGCGAATTTTCTCAAGATTTGAGAAGGAACGAAATGTGTAACGTAATTTTGTATTCTTACTTTGTAAGTGCATAACCACTTCAGCTGAAATTAAGGCTACAAGTCATTAACTGATAGCCATAATTATATGTACTGGTATACAGTATTAAAATCAACCTCAATTGTCGTGTAACCGCCTAGACCATATTTACATATAATTTTTATTATTTTTTTTTATGAAATTGAGTAAAACTTTCTAACATAATGTTAACGGTACAGTTCCTTCATAAAATCTCGGTATAGACAAAAGCTACAGTACACAGTGACCTTGAACACAAAGAAACAGTGAAGTGGAACAATACTAACGATTAATGGCCGAATGTGGGACGTTCAAACCCACTGTCAAGTCCTTCGCTTAAATAAAGAAGAAATAAACAATGATTTAATACACAGAATGAGCTAACTACCTATTAGTATGCGAGAAACATTCACTCACCTTTTTGTGTTCCCCGTCATTGATAGCGAGTAGATGCCTAGGTTTGACTGCTGACATAACTCTCCTCTATAGTTCATAGTACAACTGGCAACCTGAGAAGAACAAAGATTCAAGCCTTCAAAATTCTAAACGTAATTCCTAGATGAATTTACAAGATGTTAAGACCTAAGACATTACTTCGGGTTTGGGAAGACAAGTGAATCATGACTTTCCACCGACTGAGTGTGAATCATCCCCTCCCCATGACCCCTCACATGACAAACTTTAAATTCTCTCTCCATCTCTATTGTTCCTTCACATCACTTTCTCAATTTCACAATCTCACTTAATAAACATCTCCTTACCTTTCAGCTATACCTGAGAATGATCCTTAATTTCTTGTATTCAATTATCCAGCATTAAAAAGGCAGCCTAACAAACTCCTGCAGGGTCCCCATATCCTTAAGGTCAATCTTCTCTACGTAGTCTCAATTTTTATGAACATTTTTTTCTTGTAAGAGTATTGTATTGTACTGTATATACAGTACAGTATCTACAGTACTGTGTGTGTACCCTGTATTAGTTTTTCAATCTCCTATCCATAACCATAATCTAAACAGTTATACACCAATACTCAAGAAGATGTGCAAATTAATTTCTACATAAAGAGAGTACAGTACAGTATTTAAAAACAGTCATATTCAAGTACGATAATGTCCAGTCACATTAATGTCATACACAGTAGCTGTCAGACTAAATACTCTTCCCTACTGTGTATCTCTTACTAGAAATCCATTGTATCCTTTTTTGACAGTACAGTCGTGTAGTTTACAACCTACTGTACTAAGAATGTGCTTTAACTTTGTGTTTACAATGAAGTACTGTACACTTGTGAGAAAAGAGAGGAGAAAAAATAGTACAAATAATGCAAGACAGAAAAACGAGCACGAATAATGAGGCTGACAAACTGTGATGCATCATCAAGTGGAAATGCAGTGTGAGTGTGTGGGCAGAAAAGATAAGTCCATCAGTGGGAGAATGGACAAGTTTTCTACTTCTCCCATAACTACAAGTGGCCAAACTAAACTGGTACACCCCTAAATCTACTACAGGACAGATATTTATGTACCTGTATTAAAGCATACCTGAGAAGTTAACAACAGCTGTCAGTATCATCACAACTACAGTATTACAAAAACAATGGTTGTCTTATTATTATACCTATGATAAATGGTAATAAAAAAAATATATTTATTTCATTTATTTCTAATACTATAAAAATACTGCTTTCTTTTTGTTCTACAATACTGGCAAGACTGCTTTGGTAACCTCACCAGGATAACACAACCCAATTGAGACATGGTGTACAAGAAGCTGTGGACGATAATCCCACACACTCCTCCACATTCCTTCAGCCAAACTCCGATGATCAGAGGATTGGCAAACCTGGACTTTAAACTTTCATGAAATTTTATAAGGCACGAGACTAGACTCCATTTAAATCATAGTTACATTTGCTTTTATTCATTTCACAATTTGTCACACAGAAGTCCAGATATTTAACATCCTAGATAACTGATCCAGGATCAATAAGACTCTTTAAGACTCAAGCTGGATAATAGTAAACTCTGGCTCAAGAGGTCCCATATGATAAACAGTCTCATTATTGAAGTCCCAAATATATAGGTAAAGTGCATGAGATTTATGAAGTTATCAGTTGTGGCTTTTCGCCATGTTACATCATTTACAGTGCTATGACACAGTGTTGCTAAAAATGTTTAGCATCTACAGTTTGATTTCCTGAACAAAAACTGGATGAGGTTCAAACAAGACAAAACTGGTGCACACACTCAACTAATTAGCCAAATGAACACAGGTCAAAACTATACCATTAATACAATAAACCAAAAACCATGGTATTAACACATTACTGTACTGTGGTATAACTGTTACACATCTTCAATTTGTGGTATAGATGAGGGTTAACAAACTGTGAAATAATTATTTTCCCCCACAAGAAATTAACATATCAATCCAAACATGCCACAACAATGCTCACAATATGTTTTAGTGTGGTCACACTTCCATCACAAACGTTAATAACCAAATCACACAAAGGAATAATTAAAACAGGGACAATGTGAACTCAATTTACAAATAACTCCTTATAGTATCTGACCACATTCAGTAGTTAGTGCTGCATTCTTATTACCAAGATTGTACACAAAATTAATTTACCAAAGAATAATTTTTTTAGTTTTTGAAGGCATTCAACAGGGTTAAGTCAGACAATACTTTATATAAATGAACTGGCATTAACATTTTATCTTATATTTTAGGTAACGTACAGTATGTCTTCAGAAATCTACATTTTATCTTTTTTAATTCATTCTACACAACTTAACTCATATGGAACACTGACTTTCCCAAGTACAAGTTCCTACCACTTCACCCTTCCTCATTTAGATAAACAACCATCCTAGACAATCCTACAGTTGTATAGGTCAATCATTAGTGACATTAATTGAAAATATCTAAAAACCTTTTTTCTCAATTCATATACAGTAATATCACTTGGTCTTTGTTCTTACATTACTTCACTTTCCATGACACTCCTAAAGAAAAAGAGAGAAACTGATGATCCCACACACAATCTTAGCCACATACTGTACATAGATTCCCACAATAAAGCCAAGTTCATATTTCAGTTCTTTTCCAGTTGTTTCTCTAGGAAATTGAAGTATTTTTCATGATCTCAACTACAGCCAGAAATTGTTTGTTTACCACATTTAAAGATGAAAGACCCATTTTTCACGATCATCCTAAGTTTTATAAATATCAATATAAGGTATTTACTCAAGTCCATCACTGACTACAAAATCTGTACACAATGTTTAAAAATCTTCACGTTTCCCTACACACAGTAAAGTGAAACCTCCACATAACAGACTTCTCTTTCCAATAATCTGTTAGATGGAGGTTTCACATCAAATGAACCCTCAATACAATGGACATTCTTCTCCATATAGTCCATTAAATAGAGGTTTCACCATATTCAAAGGCCTACACTATTCTCAACCAAGAACAACATTCAAATTCCAATATTTTCTTCTAATTTCCCTGATAAAATAAAAACCCTGGTTGCTGTACTGTATATGAATATGATACTTCAAGGTGGTCATGAATTTAAGAACATATCCTTCTCATAGTACAGGACACTGTTACAGTGTACTGCATAACCAAATTTACAAAAGACCAACTACAGTACACTACAGTAATTAAGTAGGTTGTTATATGCTGTATATACTGTTTATTAATGACAGTTACAGGATACTCTAAAATTGCAAAAATGTCCTGCCACTGAAAAACAAAAGAAGCTGCACAATAGTAAAACTTACAGGTCAAACACTCCTGCTCAGATACATAGGCCCAGCCCTAACCATCAGGACTGGTATCTGTTAGGGCTGAATCTCAATCCTAATGGTACATTTAACCACACGTCTACACCATACAAAAGTATCACAAGCCGTGACTCCTAGCAAAAACTAATGAACAGTTACAGTGTGACTCAAAAGTTACCCTAATCTGAACATAAGAAACTTTAAGCAAATTATAAATAGACTAAAATTGATACACAGGAGGATACATTATTTGTAATTAAGTTTTCAGAAAAAATCCAAAGCACAAACAAGTTAAGAATGGCAGGTACACAGCGGCCTTTAGTACAGTATTACCAAGTGTTACACAAAAGATCAGCCTCAGGCAATATGACTTCGGTTCCATTCCCTAGAGCATTTTGGTTATCTCACTAAACTTTCTCTCGCCATCTAAGTATTGATAAACTTGTGATGGACAGTATTCACAAAACATGTTCTGGGTTAACATACAGACACATTATGGGTGAAGACAATACAGCACCTTTGGACCAAAACTTGCCACAAGGTAAAAAAAAATAAATGTAAAAAAGTTGTTGATGACTTGTCAACTATAATTTATCTTCTAATTGCTTAATCTTTTATAGTTTACAATTTTATTTATGTAGTCTGTAGAAACAGTATACAGTATATTGTATATAAAAATAATGAAAAATCATTTTAAGGTTCCTAAATGCTAAGTAATTTCAAATTCAATATCTTTTCATTTTTGTTTTTTTCAAGGACATGGAGGCAATTTCAGTGTCTAAACATTACAGCCAGCGAAGTTTTTATCCCTATATACTGTACTGAAAAAGATGTGGGGCCGAGCTTCAAAGTCCTCATCATGCTACAGATGATTCCCGAAATCATTTAAAAAAGGAATTTATCTTCGTACTGTACTGTATAATATTAGATCAGCCACATACAGTACACACTCACTGCAACATCTTTAAACAAATGCCTAAAAAATTTATTTTCCCCAACTCTCCTTTTAAGTGTTACAAATCACGAACCCCAACTGGGAACATTACTCAAATTCAAACATTTTCCAAATTTTCTCAGTAGGTTGGAAACCCTGTTAACTCAACAAAACTAGGACATCAACCAGGGTCTTGTGTAGGAGTCATGTACACAGTACAGTACTGGAACAAGACAAGTTGTAGTTGACACTGCACTTTTTATCAATAGCTTCATTAATTCGTTTTAATTGTCGTTAATACGATTATGTCTTGCTACTTTTCCATGGCATTAGACTAAGTGTTACTGAATTGGCTATACTGTACTTTACTTCATTACTTGATACAGTATATGCGTGACACTGTATATTGCTAACACTGACTGATTACACTTGAGACCATCAGTAACTGGCACTACAGTATTAAGCAAGAGTACATAGTCTTGTATATACAGGTACACCAATAACACCATAATATACAGAACAATTTACCAAAACATTCAAACTATAACCATTATTGTTTCTCTTTTGTATATGCAATATATTATGAGCAGGTGAATAAAGTAGTACTTTTATATATCAAATAAAAAATCATTATTATTTTCTACAATAGCAAGCCTTTTCCAGCTATGATACAAGGTGGTTCTAATCAGAGCAAACACACACTCTGCCTTTAACCATTGTCATTCATTATCTATTAACAGACATAACTTGAAAACATGGCTGACATGATTTGTGATAACTGTACAGTACTCTCAGTGAATACATCAACAGTACCTATAAATACTGCAGATCTTTGTTCTTCTAACCAGATGCTCCTGAGTTTCCTCTCCTCTGTAAAACTCACATCGGTGTCAACATTAGCTTATGGACGGAAATAATTTACAATGTATTAATAATAAACATACTATCACAATAATAAAGATCCAAACTTACAGAGGGTGAATCTAAAGTCCAGAATCATAGGAATATTTCGGTTTCAATTTTAATATACTGTACTGTACTGTACAGCATTAACTGTTCAAACACTATTAATTTCTGAAATAATGCTTTGATGAATGATTCTTAAAACTGACACAATTAAAAATATTAATTTCTGATTGCACAATAAATTTAAGTGTCCCAAAAGAAAATCAAAGTGTCAAAGTTAGATGTTCTGCAACGCTTACTTTCAAGAACTGATGTCGGTGGTCATCACAGCCTCACAGTTTGGTCAATTAACATAGATTGAAAAATAAAAATTCCTGTAATTCTGGACTTGTGAATCACCATATACGAGTACAATGGATGAGATTCAATTATTCCACTGATTGTTATTATTCTGTCTTACTAAATCATACACAGTTCTGCATATCTTAACCTTAGATATTATTTCACTCTTGCAAGCCAACATTTTCCCTTTTGTAGTCAACTTATCCCCTCTAGCTGCCATAAAAGATGTACTGTATTCCACTATGATCCACAACGAGGCCCCCAAGCTGTCTATATGTTTCTCCCAATCCCTTCATGGAACCCAACAGCACATTTAATCAGCTCCAACATCTCAGGTTTTTTGGGTATACAGTATTGAAATATATTGAAGATCTTAAACAAGATCAACATTGTAAACTCAAAGTTACCTGTGTCTACTGAGCTAGATAATGGCAACCAAACCAACAGACACTACTAGTACAATTGGTTATCCAGATTTTAACTGACGGGCAACACAATGCACATCCTTATAACACAATACAGTATAAGTTTCATGAACCCCAAAAAAAAAGCAAATTTGATACCCAGTAGTTTTAAATAAACTCCCCAGTGAAGATGAAAAAAAAAAGTTGGGAATATGAAAATCACCGAACCTGAGATGAAAGAAGTGTGGATAGAAGCAGTTCTTCACCATTCTAGGTAACATGCATGGTACAGTACACCAATTTCATATCTCCTATTGGGCCAAGTGACACACCAACTTCATATCTTTCAATATTTAGCACCTCTGTCAACATGTTACAGCACACACAGGCCATTATGATTATTTCATTACACATAATATACCTGCATAACATTACCCTCAAAACAAAACCACTTAAAGCTCAGCACATAATATAAAAGGCAATAATTTATGATATTGGGAGCACACTCGCTATAATGCAACATACATGATTGTTAGTCTGCATGATGCAGTCAAGAGCTGACCCAGCCTCTAAGTTTGAACATCCACCCAATCCATGACTTGGGGAGTCCTCCTTCTCTCTCTGAATGATCATTACTTGTGCAGTAATTGTATATTATTTGTTATATTTTGAATTTTGTAACAAATACAGGAATTAAGATTCATATCATAGTGAATCCTGCACATACTGTATTTTCTTATATATAATATTTTGGTAAACTTGTGATCTCATCACTTACTAAATCTACTTGTTTTTTTATAATAAGCATTGTAAAGCAATGTGAAGGTTAAGCATTCATTTTGTTTATGCATATGAGAGCTGAGGATAAGAACAACTAAAGGTGTATTTCTCTTTGTTGCCTTAATCTTCTCCTCTCAGGTTTCTGTAAACCTTTATATATTCTACAAAAATACAAAACAAGTGTAGTTATAGTAAACATATTTCTGGTGGGTGTTATAACATGATCAAACTAAGCATGGATCACACCCTGACAGTGTTAACCTTCCTCCCTAAACACATGTGTAGCTTCAGCATTTTAAAGGTAAGTATTAATCTACATAAAAATTTTCTGAAAATACCCACTGCATGACTGATAAGTAGCACCCATATCATTTCTGGAATAGAACTTTAAAATTATTGCTATTTCATGGTGACTGCTGAAAACTGCACCAGATGCCAACAATGAGAAGATCTTTGGTGTAGAGACAGGAACTGGTTCACATGAGTATGGCACTTACAGCACATACTCCCATTTAACTTTACCATACCTTGAAACTGCAATTATTTCAGCAGTTCCACAATTAACTTCAAATCAGAAAAAAATCAAACTAAATATTTTTTCTTAATTTTTGTTATTTAAACCAATTCCTATTAGGAAATTGTAATATATTCTAGATGAGCCTAAGATATCTCTAGTTACCTACAGTATATTAATATATAAGGCCCATATAAACTCAAGTGGGTACAAGTACAAAGGGTACAAACTGTGCATCACTACAGAGCAATATACAATCCCACTGCACAATGCAATGAAAGAAGAAGAAACATGTTCAGGAAACACAATAGTTCAAAATACTGTACTACCACAGTACTGTAACTGAACACTAGTACAGTGAGAATTTCCTTTATAAGTGAGAAGAAAATTTGAAGTTAAAGAAGTAAGAAAATACCTGAAAGTCTTTAGAAGCAAAAAAGAAAATAATGTTAATCATATTAACTTCTTGGCAATTATATATAATCAACCTCTAGGATGAACCTATAAGCTGCTCTGGCACTTGTTGTTCAGTAAAAGAATGCAAGCTACAGAAGGAGTAACTGAGTAAATCTCTTCTTAGATTTTGGGCAAAACTAATCCCCCGACCCAGATAGGGGTCTACCATACTAACTCCACAGGTCTGGTTAACTTAGGTTAGGTTAGGTTAGGTTCTGTACCCAATAATTAATCGGTCCCTGAAAATTTACCCTGGCATTACCTGAAAACCCACAGGTAAGAAGAGGAGTCAGATCATGCTACACAAACCCACTAAGAATTCTTGAACAAAACATTTCCTAATTATTGCTTCATGAAGAATGTAGTTTCTTTCTTTACTAGAAGTAACACTCTTGTATGAAACAAAATATGCATATGTTATAACAGCTACTGAATAACTGATCCAAGTACAAGAACTTTCAACTAAAAACAAATGATACCAAACTAAAAATCAAGAGTTTTCCAATTGTTTTAATAACCTGCATATCATTCATCCTTAACCAGTTATATACCAGATATTTTGTGAACTCTTATACTGGTACAATCTAATAAGAGCTGTCATTAACTACATATATTCCACATGGACATCATATAAAAAAGAAACAAAAAGATACTTCCTTTGGTCTTTCAACTATAATGCCACTACTAAATCATATCAGAAGTCTACAATGTGCTCTTCAGTGCAACAGTGCCCACTACAGTACTATTCAAGTGTGATCATGTATGGGTAAAGACCCTTTGTAAAAAATTAACTAAAATAGGTTTGAATGCTTACTGAAGGCTTCTGCAGAAGGGTAGGTTTCTTTAAGAAGAACATTTTCACTAAAGAACATCACCAAAGCTGAGTGCAAGGTCTCCTATACTGTAAGCCAAAGTGGTTGTCGTGACACTCGGTAAACATTTTCAAGTGACGAGGTCACACCCAGACGAGACGATGGTCAGAGTCGTTGAGAGTTCTTGGTACAGGTACATGGTTCCGATTTGGGAGGGAAGAGAAGTGACGCTCATCAAGAGTTGATGACGACTCACCCACCACCATTAAGCTGTAGGAGAACATGCACATATGGTAAGGCAGAGTTCAACACACAGACAGACATGAACACTCCAAGAACTACCAAAAGCACTGTGTTGCATTATTCATTCATTCCAACCTCTTAAATCAAGAAAATTCCCTGAGCCCATTAGTAAGTGATATGAAAATATAAAGGTGCACTTACCCCAGTGATAAATTACTCTTGAAACCTTTCACATTAAAGAAGTCCCATAACCCATAAATAAGTAAATTGTAAATGTAAGTATGTGCTTTGCCATTACAGTGCATTATACCAAACCAACCAAGCCATCTATGTCCAGAAACTGCCACGAATAAGATATTATATGAGTGTTATTTTCTGCACTTGTTATGAATACATATGTAGAGTTAAGAAGCCCCTAAAATTAGCATAGCATCTGACAAAGAGAGGAGGTGGATAAATACCCTAATCTGTATGCATCATTTCTTTGCACCAATTTAGCACACATCTAATGAAAATAATCTCTTGCTTTGAGTTCAGGACCCAGTTGATCTTACCTTAGAGGCTGTGGGTTACCGTTCATCTGCATGGATGTCTGTGTCTGTAATGTATCCTCCCTGATTGCACTGTCATCTATTCTTGGAACCACTGTGGTGGTGTCTGTGCTTCTAAAATTTTGGTTTACTTCTGGACTAGCATCACTCTCACTTGGTACCATAACATGTTGGTCCTTGTCTCTCTCGTAGTGATGCCTAGCGTCTCCGTGTCCGCTGTTTTGGTGCTCGGCAACAGCTTGCCTCGCAACTGCCTTAAACTGATTTGTATCGGGTGGAAGGACAGCACAGTTCCCTTCACTCTTCGTACTTCTGGTGGTGCTGCTGCCATTATTTACTGAAGATACTGATTTCTTTGGTTCCAAGTTGAGCTTCAATACACCTGGTGAGATATCAAATGATATATCATACTGTACAGTCTCAAGTAATCACACATGAAGACAACTATGAAAAATTCATATACAGTGGTCCCTCGGTTAACGAGCACAATCCGTTCTGGAAGGTTGCTCTTTAACCGAAAAACTCGTTAACCGAAACCATTGTTTCAATGGGTTTTTAGGTAATTGGTTCCAGCTCACCGAAAATTGCCTAAATTCAACAAAAAAGGTAGAAAAGTACACTTACTTTGAGGTGTGTATGTAGAAGGCTCCTGGATGATGATGATGATGGGAATTAGAATGGGGGTGGAGGAGGGAGAAGAGAAGGCATTGGGGTGGAAGAGAAGTCACCCCATGGTGCCATTTCACCCATAAAATTTTAGTTCTCTTGGTGCAATTCAAGATTATTTCCTTTAAATCAACACTGCACTGCATTATATATTGTCAATATGTAAAATAAATTTCAAAATGACCAATAATTTGCTTGGAAACACAGAAAAAAAGTGTTTAGTTGAAGAGAGTCTCAAGCAAGATGTTACCTCCACTGAAAACAGAGAGAGACTAACGCCTGTCTGGTGTGTTAACAGGCTGGATGGCACGCCAGAAACTAGTTTCTTTACCTTCAATTATGTTCAATAATTGTTAAAATGACTAAAAAAGTTGATATTAAACTTTTAAAATTATTGAATAGTATAAACTTCTTGATATTTACTAAAATAGTAAGAAATTTAAGCCCTAAAACCGATTACTGTATTGGCGGACTAATACTACAGCTGGTGGACTGCCAAATGCAAGCGAAAACATGTTGAAGTCGGCTCGTAAAAAACTCGTTAATCGAGGGATTGCTCGTTAACCGAAGTTAAGAATCTTATGGAAGGTAAATCGTTAACCAAAATCTCGTTAACCGAGGCGCTCGTTAACCGAGGGACCACTGTACTGTTCACTGGACATCCACACTATTTTTAGCACAGATTTTTTAAATACTGTAGAGTGCTGTACAATTGAATGGGAAAAATCTGTTTATTTACCCAGTGTTTTCTAACTAACACAAGAAATGAAAATACAGAACAAAATAGAAGTGTACCAGGAAGTTGTCATCATATATAATGTGATCCCTGCAGCTCAATCACTGCACAAAGTAAAGGTACTGCATCAAAGCATTATGAGTAATAATGAATACAATACAATTTATCACCCAATAAAGATGTATCTAGACAATGAAACATGGTGAAGACATCACTATACCATGGCCAATTTCCACAGTACTGTATTACTGTACAGTCAAAGAAGGGAAGAGGAGGGGCCAACTTTCAGCATTTAAACTTCATGTGAGAGACAACAGTTAGCTACAGTACACAACTCAGTAGCAGGGACATGTTGGCCTACACTCTTTTACCAAACACCTCTATGACCTACTCTTCAGACACAACTACCAGCATGTGGTGATTGTCACAGCTCACATAAAATTGCAAATTTTAAGAGTATAAAAAATGTGATGAATGTATACTGAAGGAATGGAGAGAGAGAGAGAGAGAAGATGGTGATATTGCATCTACACTTATTTGTACTGAGAAGGCAGCAGCCTACCACATTAACCCTTTTTTGATCTTCAAATACTTAAATTTAAGGAAGATTTGAAGAAAAACTTACTATCACTCCTCATTAGTGACTTGAGAGAGGCGATAAGTTCCCTGGCCCGGGATGCCAAGAAGTCAGAGGTGAGTGTACGTCCTCTCTCATGGCTTGCTGAGGCTACAGAATTATTATGGCTGGTTCCTGTTGCTGCAGATGCCACACAATGGGTGCTGAGAGCACGGCTCACCCTGAAATGTTTATGACTTCAATAAAACAAAAGGTATTTTCTAATAACACATCTTAATCTCAAATTTCAGAAAGTGCATTAAATACAACATTGAATGGTGTTAATTAACATGCATGAAGATGCTGCCATAGTCATCTTTAGCAAACTACAATCCTTTTTACCTTAAGGGTATCATTCATGAGTATGAGATGGATTTCCATGCCATGTTCATTTTGTAATCTCAGTACATGTGCTAGTACTGTACTGTACTGATATTTATCATTTGACATAAAACACCATTAAAGCAACAACTCCCCCAGGTTCCTGCACCCCAAGCCAAGGGCAAGCATATGCATGAAACCTTTGAGACAGACTTGGGTTATATAAAAGTGATAAACTAAGTTATATGGAGAGCTGGCCAGGGTTTACTTACCTGATATGAATGTACTGATATGAAAAAGATAGAATGCTTAAATATGAGTAAAATTCAAAAGTGCATGACAGGAAAGAGTGAAGACCAAGGAGATGGATGAATGGGTGGGAAAGGCACTACACGCAAGGAGGATGGACATCCATGAAGTAGTGGTGTGGGGGGATGATCAAAAAGTATGGCACCAAGTGTTTTATGGGGGTGGACTTGTTAATGTTAGGTGATGATATAATGAGAGAATGACTGATAGTAAATTGAAGTAAGAGTCTGTTCATTCTTGGTTCTGGTCACCCTGCAGGCCACGACTTACAAGAACAGGGGAAAAAAAGTCCTTACCTACGAGGATTTCCTGACTGAGTGGGAAGAGCCCACACACTTCCTGATTTTCGAACTGCATCTGAATTTCTTCTAATAGGTCCAAAAGTGTGGGAAGTAGAGCTTGGTAATAAGTCCGGAGACGGAAACTTTGGGTGTGCCAACCTATAAGGTGGATCTCCATCAACATCATCATCTGGTGACGTAGGAGTGATTGTGTGTAGAGACAGGGCAGGGCTTGTGATGGAGTTAAAGGAGGTAGTGGGGCTTGTAGCGGGACTTGTAGTTGTACTATGATTAGACGTCATATTCAAGGTAGAATTAACTGTGTGTAAGAAGTCCACTAGCTGCCGTGTTGCAGCCTCATATGTGTGACGACTACGTTCAGCCTGAAAAAAGAATATTTTTAGTCTACTGTAAACAAACCACACACAATGAGATCATAACGTTCCACTACTCATAAACGAAAATTTATGAATACTTTCCATGTCAATATTTCAAAATAAAGGATTGACCCTGGTATCCTGTTTCACTAACTGAGTCAGGAGAGGGCGACTCTTGTACATTCAGTAAGTCTACCAGGTTACACAACTCCAATCTTGTGACACAAATTTAAATGTCAAGTATATTAAAAAAATCCTAATATCCTTCAACTTCACACTGGAGTGCAATAACACACACACTTTATTATATGTATTCTTTTCAACCCTTTAAGGAGGAGTGTCGCACTTAGGCATTTTATTCTAGCTAATGCAAGATGATTTTATTCACTTAAGAGAAACCCTACTACTCAATGGCTTCTCAATGTCACACCACATATGTTTCACTTTTAACTATTATACAAAAATTTTATTCCACTTTTGACTCTCTCCGGCTCAACTCTTCAGATGAGTACATTACAGGCATTCAATTCTTATTAACAGCAAACATCTAACTTATTTATAACTTACTTGTCTCCACTGTACACACACAAGTACTACACCCAAGGAAGCAAGAGAGAAAAATGGGAATAATTAATAGAAATAAAGAAGATATAACAAGTCCACAATGTCATAATTCTCACATGTCCAAGTGATGATATGGTAACAATTGTGACTGTTGTACAAATTTCTTCACACTCAAGTTTAAGACTGATGAAATGGTACCAAGGGATAATTTATGGTGAAATGTGCTGAAGGTGTTCCAGAATATTGAGCCAACAACCACTAATACCTGATACAGTACAGATCTTATTTTCACTTCATATATTAACCAACATATGTTGAGATTGTATAAATGAAAAACAAACCAAAGAAGCTTTCTTACCTTATTGAGCTGTGCCGTCAGTAGCTGCACCTGCTGCTGTAACTTAGACACCTCTGGTGCAGAGTCACTTCCAGCAGACTGTGCTCCTGAGTGACTTATATTGCTTTTCAAACTTCGGTTATCAACTATTAGCCGTTGACACTCCTGTGCAGAATGATGTATAATATATTAATAACAAGGTCTCTTAATGTGGGCAGATATAACCTTCTGGCAAACTTCATACATATAAGCCTTTCTTTACTATGATGAAGGGGAGTTAGACAGGTGATGATCCCATGGCTTAGCATTCAGCAGCTAGCGAGTTAGCCCGACAGGATGTTTGTGCACTGAAGAGTTGTTCCATTATCAACAGACACACCTGACAGTGAATTAATTTTACTGCTGAATGAGAAGGGAGGAAACTGAAGCTCACCACACTAACTGGGAATCAAACTCAGGATCCTTCATATGAGAGCAGAATGATTAAACACTGATCTGTGGAGCCACAAACTGTACTCGTAGCTATAGTTTTACAGTAGTTTAAAACATAGAAACAGTAATACATGTTGAAACTTTTTATGACTCGCACAATTCTAGCTGTGGCACAAACTGAAGTCAGACCTCCAACCAGAAAGTAAACACTCACAACTACTAACCATTCTGATACGCAGTAGGTCCTCCTCCAGGCGCTGTATGGTGGTATCTCGGTCGGCTAACACCTCACATAGCTGTTCAATACGACCCTTAAGCTGTTCATGCTCCATGAACGAGCTCTCAACCTTTAAAAAAAAAAAAAAAAAAAAATGGTGAAGTTTACCATTAACTCCAGCTATCAGTACTAAGGTTAGGTTAGGTTAGTCAGTAGCTGATTTAATACCCCCATTATTCAGATCAAGTTTGTCCTTCATTGTACAGTGTTAGTAAAAGAGGAAACTGGAGTATCCGGAGAAAACCAGCGATGTTTGGTGAGGCCACAATGAATAAAACTCTTCTCACACCTGACCCCGGGACTGAACCTGGGATGCAGAGATGAGAGGCAAGCATGCTACCACAGTACTACCACTAGTGACAATATAATTTTGTTGCTTTAATATGCCTTGGTATTCAGATTTTAATATTTGCAAGTCATGAACAATCATGTTTTTCTGATGGAAACAAAGGTCAGATTCCATTAAAACAACGAAATGCATCAGACAAACCTATTCTTGTTAGTAGTTTCCGTGGCAGACAATTTCCAAATCTTTACCGTAAGCAGTACAGGAAAGATAATAATAAAGGAACAAATGTAAAAAAGGGAATACTGTCCAGTTCCTTGCAAAATGGAATCAGAGCAACACGACGGTTTCTTTCAGGATCTCTTAGGTCGTATATTGAAGATCGTTTCTTAGGCCAAAAATGCCACTCCTTACCTGGAGGACTGTGGTTCTAGTTTGGTTATAAAGATTCAAAACTAATGTCAAAGTTCACAGCTGAAAGTTAAGAAACATTTCTGAAAACCACCCAATCTGTCCAGCTTTACCTAAAGACAGGTAATTATATTTAAATTTGATAACTTTTTCAAAAGAAACCACTGGACAAAGTAGAAATAATAACAAAACCGAGAAAAATATATCTTTCACTGAATAATGTTTGACTGACAGAAAGAGTACACAAGAGGTCCGCTTCCCTTAACTTTGACATATAAATATACACCTCAGTATATGACATCAAACTATATGACCTTCTCAGAATCAAGCCATGAGACACATGTACAAACTACATTTACAGGTCCTTAGGATGTGCTGTATAGTGTATACCGTATATCACGGCCTATAAGGCGGCGGGGTGCATAAGACGCCCCCCCCAAATTTCCATTTAAAAAGTAGCTTTTGAGCTCTATTTGCTGTATAAGACCAGTACCCCAAATGTGACACTTACCCACTGACTCAGTAGTCCTTTACCAACCATCCTTGATTTTTTAAAATAAGGCCAATTCACTTCAAGTAATGTCATCAAATTATACTCGCTGGTGTAGTGTAAACACTAGTGACGTCACTGAAGCGTGGTGGGAGTGTTCCCTCGTCTGGGTGGTGTGACTATTTATACAACATGTGGTTAACAGCAACCACCGTATTCTAATTGTGATGTTTCATTAGGATTTGAGTGAAAAAGGTTACCAGTATGTACTTACTACATACATTTATTACACATATATATATATATATATATATATATATATATATATATATATATATATATATATATATATATATATATATATATATATATATATATATATATATATATATATATATATATATATATATATATATATATATATATATACTGAATATACTATGTACAAAAAATGAATGTTCAATGAATTATTTATGGTGCATTAGGGTACTAGCCACTTCTGATGGGCTATAAATAGCCTTCTTTATCTCCCCTACATCTCACCCTGAGCCAGACGGAAGGGTCTTGGTAAATAACATGTTTGCTTATTTTCCATTTACTTTAAATAAATTTACCGAATTATTTGTTTTATTTATTTATTTATAATATACTGTAATATATTAAACACACTGTAATTATTTTCTTTAATTTATAAACTGTTTTGCGACAAAGGAATGTTCTCCAGTAGTGTTTCATTAGGATTTGAGTGAAAAAATATTACGTACTTACACAATTGTTCCTCTTACTTTGACAACACAACATACATACAGTATATTATTTCTCAGTTTTGATCTTTTTTTTTAATTTTTGTATTTATTTATAGTTAGTTACTTAAAATAAGGCCAATTCACTTCAAGTAATGGCATCAAATATTACCAGCTGGTGTAGTGTAAACACTAGTGACGTCACTTGAGCGTCTGTAATTAACCGTCGATAGTTTCAAGAATTAATGCACTTTTCCTTTCTTGTCTCCTCACTGGCAAATGGGGGGGGCGTGGGGAGGGGTGTGTGATGATAGCTGTGTTTATTACAGGGGTATAAATCTCTTTTACGGTATGTTAGACAGGTTTATAATACATTTTTATTATTTTAATATACCGGTAATCTTAATTTGAATCCAGCTTGCCAAACGTAAGTTTCAGTATAAAATAATTAGTGGTAAGACCTTGTGAGTGGCTTACGATGTTTTCATCACCACTCTTGACACACTAAACCACAATATTTAAGAGGTAAGAATTTTAAACTTGGTGGTTTAGACGACCCCCTAACTTTGGGCAGATTTTTTTAATGTTCAAATTTCGTCTTATAGGCCGTGATATACGGTAGTACTGTACTAAACTTTCCCTAAAATCACACACACCAAAAAAAAAAAAATTAAATAAAATCAGAAATAAACACCAGGAAGAGACATACACAACCTAATGGCAATTATGTTAGTACATCTACATACATTTATAACCAAGTGAAAAAAAAGCACTCAAGCAACTAAGAAACTGAGTTCAGGTATTATAATTAGTTAATCCTGAAACAGCAGCAATCATTGGTGGAAGCTAGCTGTAAGCTCAGCAAACTTCATCTGAATGTTGTGTGTTCCTTTTGTTGTTCCGTTTTGCACATAGCAGGGAACATGAGACGGGAAATACTTAGCCGCCAATTAAGGGTTATTTACTCAGTGCTAGAATTTAAGAAACTGTACGGTAAATTCACTTACCGGAGCATCTTTATCTGGACCAAGTTGTGTCCCATGACCATTCAGAGACAATACATCCTGCTTCTTATTCCACTTTCCTCTCAGCTCTGAAATACAGTAGAAATAAAGTCATCCATTCTCTCTAAAAAAAGTATAGATCTATTCATAACAACACAGGCCTACGTTACCTGTGCATGGAAATATTTTAGACCCAACATTAATGTTAGGTAATTTGTAGTTGTTTTTTTCCTGTGAATTAGTTCTCATAAATAAATAGATTCCTCCTGGTAGAAAACACAGGACAGTATAAAAGCTGAGTACCGTACCTGCACTCGTCAATGATCAGAGAAATAGAAAAATAGGTACTGTACCAGTACAACACTGCTTGGTGACCGACATAATCCCACACCCACCATAGTCTAAAGGTGAGAATGATGACTTAAAACAAGAGAGTGCAAGAAATAAAAAGACTGCAGTATTTAAATGTGGCCAAAAACCATTGGCGGCAAGTAATTAGCATTAGAAAAGTAATTAAAATTTATGAATGTCATTTGGACAAGTAATTATACAGATATCAAATTGCAGACAACAAATAATCAGCACATTCAGGAGTAAATACAGTAAATACCGTACAGTATTGAGATTTTTAACCAAATCTATGAGATCAAGATTATGACCAAAAACACCCTTTCTCTCAGAATTGAAATATAATGTGTTTAACTACATAAGTACATCCAGAATACAGTATTTCTTTTTACTAAAGATATATTGTACCTGCGTGTGACTCCAACCAACCAACTACCCAAACAACAAAAATATATATGAACATTTTAAGCAACAAAGTGATTTAGGTACAATGTGTCTTCAAACCAATAAGCAGCTGTACTGATGCAATGACATACAGTAAATAATAAAATGATCTAGGGGTAAAATAAGGCTTACCTGAAAGATTGATGAGTTTCCTGCCATCATTAGTAGAGACAGACTTGTGCCAGTCCTGGAGAGAGAAACTTCCACCTTCACACAAACTATGGAGTCGCTCATATGGGACAAAAATATCCCCGTTCACTAACAGCTGCTGATATATGTCCGCAGGAACAACATTCAGGTCAGATTTTCCCAGCCCTGCCTGTTGGTCCTGTGCTTCCGGTACAATGTCTAGTGTGGTGGGAAGTGATGCTGACTCAGGGGTGGGAGGAGGTACAGTCTTATTGGCACTTGAATTTAGACTCAAAAATTTATCTTGATTAAGAGTTGACCGTTTTACTTGACTGGAATTTAAACTAAGGAATTCTTCATTTTTAAAGTAAAACTGTCCTTTCGGTGCAGAAATGAAAACCGGCAAACTTGCGCGTCTATAAGAATCGGCCAAAGATTTTGCATAGGAGCTTTTAAAGCTTCGTGATGGTGAGGATGTGAGAGCTGTATCTTTTAAGAAAGATATCTCAGATGCCGCTTCAAAATCCCCCTCTTCTTCCACCTCATCCTCTGGTGCTGGTGCCTTCTGTGTGTCATCTCCATTTTTGGCTCTGTCTTTCAGTTGTTCAACCTTCCATGCCTTATTTATACGAGGTTCTCCGTTAATCTCTCCTTCTTTATCTTCGAAGTGAATGGGACTGAGTCGAAATTCATTGTTTTCTGCAAAGCTTTGCTTGGTAAATGAAGGTGAATCAGTGGCATCTTGATCAGCAGAGGTGAATTGGGGCAAAGGTTGATCTGTGAGTGTATGGCCTACTTGGTCATTTATGCCTTTCTGTTGCCCATCCGTATCCATTCTGCATCATGAGCTCACTGTAATAAAAGATATATTTACAGTACTGTATATCAATCAGTATGTACAGTACAGTACAAAGTAAATAAAAATGTTTTCAATACACAAAATGGAAGCAGGAAAAAACAATGCATAATGGTAAATACAGAAAGAATATCATAACTGGATTACTAAATTTTGTCATATTTTCCCAGCACAGATAACTGACTTTTTAAATATTCTAAATATCCTTAATATTTTCAAAGGTAATTTTGTATGAAATTTGAACAAAATACATGAGACCTTAGTGTCAAAACGCTAAACTACATTATCTTTAATGAAAAATAATGCGTTTTATCGTAAAGATAGACTATATTTTTAAGGAAATGTATACCGTATAAGGGTGATTTAAAACATACGGGCACACTAAATAATAGTCTCGAAATTTCAAGAAAACAGTACGATGATTTTTCTCTTGAACAGCATTTCATATGTAATAACTCTTGCACTGAAGAACAACTTACCAGCTACTGTAACATTATATGATTTACTGGAGACAAAATGAACAAACCTAACCTACCTAACTTAACCTAATCTACTAACCTAACTTAACCTAAATGATTAACCTAACCTTCTAATCCAACCTAACCTAATCTTCTAATCAAAACTAACCCGACCTAATACTGTACCACTACAGAAGCAACAAAGTCAACAAACTAACTACAGTAATCACCATGAATCTCACTCTTAAATCCCGTGTACCTGTACTGGTCTTCTGCCGTTATTACTTTAAACCTACAGTACAATTTTCATGACTTCAGTAGTGCTTATCTGAACCACTGCTCCACAAGCTATCAAAGCTCTTAGCTAAAGGATGGATAATACTTGACAAGAGTGACCCAGCCTTATCAGTAACATGATGTAATTTCTCCATATAGTATAATCTTTCTTACCTTGAGAAATAAAAAACAATATCAAAATGTAGGAGGAATGAGTTTTGCATCATTTCACTTTCATGATTTTATTATTATTTTTTTTTTCATAGGAGGATCTGCCTCTGCTGGCTATGTTTACTTTCCCATTGCTCAGTGACTAGATACCTACTAACAACCTTAAGGTAAAGTCAGCAAAATATTATTCTGCACCCCTGGGTGCGATGGCTCTCACAAGGAACACTGCGAGACTGACGCCATGTATTGGTAAGGTTGGCACCTCTGATTGTAGGATTCATTGTAAACTAATGTGCTGTTATTACTTATATCATGTGTAGTAACCACAGAGAAATTATCAGGAATACATATAAAACCCATAGCACTTAAACCAGATAATGTCATAGCATAATACATATACTATAGTACAGCAGTACAGTACTACGTTTAGTCACCAACATACGGTAGGCATGGCAGGCACTCTAGAAACTGAGGTGCTGTATAGGAATTTCACGTACTATGAGATACAACAAAATTGTGAAAATAATCATGATTATAACCACTATCTGAGAAAGTGATGAGAAGTGGCATAATATAAGACCTCAACCAGAAAAACAATACCAAACATTCGTAACGTAGGACAGTTAGTTACAATATTACGCATAGGTAACAGAGCTACTGGATATATGCGAGTTAAGAAACGAGCTACATCATACCTATTTAATATGTCACAATATATGATAAGAATAGGGGGTTGACCGGGGGTAACTGGTAGTAAAATTCACAAGGCAAAAGCATTGTCAGTTTCATTTAACACAGTGTAGCAAAGAATTTTGCCAGAGGAAGTGTGCTCGTTTAAGAAAATGTAATGAATCTGTTAGAAACGAAGCAGTTTCCATCTGCTAAGGGCAGACCATCAAGGCAAACAGGAGGAGTTGTAATGGCAATTGAATTTGACATTTTGATTATTTTATAAATATAGTTATACGATGTTAACTGCTCTATTGGCATCTTGTAACACATTGTGCACACAGACACTGAAACACCTTGTGGTAAATACTGTCTACAGAGTAACTGGCAACTCAGGAAGCCAGGGCTACCAACATCCACTTTGACTCATGAGTGTTTTCATAATTCTTGGTCCGGTGTGTCATACTGTAGGAACCCGTAAAGGTGCACAATAATATTTTGCTAACTGTACAACAGGTCCAGGAAAAAATAACCCAAGTTTATCTTAATATAAATGCTCGGAAAGATTTCTTAACTAATTGCATAAACTTTCATGGAAGTTAATTTTCCCTAACTGTTTCTATAAGATCAACTTATTTAAACTGTGTGGCAGGCTTAAATGATATATGGTATACAGTAAACACTATATACTGTACTAAATTAATCTTGGTTGGTTCATTTTAAGTCCGGTAAATGACAAAATATAGCAGTACAGTAGAGTATGTGATACATTTTTGGGGAAAGTTCTTGTGAATGAAACAAAGTGTTCCGGAAGAAAACACTGGAGATATGGCGTCCGCGCATGGGCATAGAATAGTGTTCAGGATGGAAAATAAAAAGGGGAATGCAATTTGTGGTAAAATTATCGTTTCGGTCATCCACCTATTTGAAATGAAGGTCAGGATCGTTCAAAACACACAAAAAATCATCGGAAAAATAATAATTTCAACCAAACCTAACCTAACATAACCTCACTGGATGACCAAAATAATAATACCCAAATTGTTCCTCCTTCGAACTTTATGGGGCACTTCATGAGGTAAGAAGATGGTTAACATGCAACATTCTCTTCCACTAGTAACCATTTGTGAATGTCTCAATGTATTTATAAAAACTAAGAATAAGAATATATGAAAAAATATTACAAAACCTGCGACATATATACGAGATAAACAATAAATCATCAAAAATTGTAATCAAACACCTGATTACAAAGCCAGGACATGAATAATGAGCCTGGCAGAGTGCTAAAGGAAAGTTAGGTGTCAAAACGTGGTATTAATTCTTCACGATTTTACTCCTTTACCTTAAACAATACCATCTAGCAGGGTGGACTGATACTGTCAGTGTCCAACAATACCTGAGTAACATTTCTGCTATTGACTGGCGATTGGACGATATGCAAATGCCTCAGAGGTTATCCACACACAGTCTATGAACAGTTTACTCATACTCAAACTGTCTGACCACACACAGAAGTATATGATAGATTAGGTAGAGTTAGATGTTCTATATTGACAATCCATTCTCTCGTTGCCAACAAACACAATTGGACAAAGAAACAGTCTGACACTAATAAGACACAAGTAAACACGTTACATTACCTTCACTACCACTCCCAGCATCTGATAAACACCTTAGAGGGCATCAAACTAGCAGTGAAGGGTCCTGACTGACAGCCACCCAGATGACGACATATACTGTGGTCTCTGGCCAAAGTTTCACCAACCGCAGGTAATTAATCACTTATTCAATTTGATTACTTAAAAATAAATCTAATTAATGATCTTGTACGGTTCTAGAAATTATCTCGAGGAATATTAGTATATGAAGAACATTAAATAATAGACTTACTAAAGAAGGGATATATTGTCTCATTGTTTGGGACAGTTCAGTCTGGTCTGGGGGTAAAACAACAACAAAGACGCTGATTGGCTGACACCGGAAGGCTGACTAACGACAGGCGCAACTGTAATAATGATAAATGTCTATTTTAACCTCTCTTACCCACAGATAATGTAGGTCGTTTCCTTTTCACTCATCAAACCTCTGCTTCCTGGAATTATTCCGTTATTTCCACTGCAGGTTTTTGCTGGTGTACACTGCAGAGTCTCAACAATGGCAGATGCATTTGTACAGCAATTGTAGAAAAAAGTGCGTACAGTACTGCTAGGTCTTGTTCAATTGTTAAGTGGATTAGCGTTTGTTTTTATTCCTATATAATCTTATGAAAGACATACTTTCTAAAAAGAACTTCTACATTATTAAACGGCCAAACTAGCCATAACGGGCACATCCGCCTAAGACAACCGGATGTTGGACCAGACATGCGAAAGCATATCATTATCACAACTTCTATAGTTTAATTGAACTATAGCAGCATTACGCGCCATACAGTAAACTAGCAATAATAGCAGATATTTCCATAGTCCTTATCTTCGCCATCTTAATTCTCATTATTTTGTCTATCCTTCTTTCCATCACATAACCCCCCCCCTTACCGCCCCCTCAAGCTATCCCAGGTGTATGGGTGGTTTGGGCCGGGTAACGCGTTGATGTGCTTACCTGTGTTGCCCGGATATATCTTCACGTTCTGGGAACTTTACTGTAAAACCGATAATATCATTGTAGTCAATATGCCTTCAAGAAATATTAAGTTTATTACGGATTTCAATACCGTATTGGCACACACGTAAACATATAAATAAACTGTAGTGTTTGTAGTATAAACCACACCACTCAATGAAACCCGGGAACCGATAACACAACTAGAACCCGCGTCTAATAATCTTATCCAAGGCTTAATAATGACGTACTGGGATGAGACAATTCATACAGCAGTTTTTAATACCACATAAATAAATCAGGTTTGACAGTGTGTGTAACTCCTGACTTTGGCTACCACAGGAGTCTTGTTACAGACCAGCGTCACCTGGCAGGGCAACACTTGTTCCCGCACCCTAAAAAACACAACTTTAGCTTAACAGTTATTGACTTCTAGCCTTACTTTTTAAAACTTTGTGTATCTTCACAATTAATGAGAGACTAGTGTATTTACTACACCCATAATTACGACTAAGGTAATAGGTTTTATACAAGTCTCAACCAGGTTAAAACACGACTATCATGATACAGTCATTGTGAGAACATTTATGTATCTGTTATACCCAAGTCTGTACAAGTACTGATGATTGTGATGACACTTTCTGGGTGTGAAAGTGACAGCGACAGTCCTCCAGGTAACCCAACACCTCCTTCAAGACCAACGTTGATATGTGACACACCAAGGACACGGTGAGTGTTCCCCAGTCCTGACAGCCACTGTCTCAACCCTTACAACTGGGGAGATCACCTGAACATTAGCAACCCCAGCTTATTTCACTTTAAGATTAACCAACCTAATACTTACCTAACCTAACCCACCCCCACCAGGTAGAGTTAAGTTGTTTACTCACCAGGTACAATATGGTGGGGCTAATCATCAGGTAATCCGTCAATCATAATGTACAATCGAAGACAAAAGTCGTGTCGCGGTTTTGTCCGAAGATTAAATATAACTCGTGAAACATTATGAGAGCCTCCTCCCACAAGGCAGAGCGCACCAAAAGTTTAGCCCTTCAGCATATGTTTTCACCAAATTTTCACGACACGACTTTTGTCTTTCATTGTACATTTTTTTTACGGGGATTAGCCCACCCGGGCACAGGTCACTGACCCACAACGGGGCCTGGGGGGGCGAAAATGTAATAATAATAATAATAATAATAAAAATAATAATAATAATAATAATAATAATAATAATAATAATAATAATAAAGAACCATAAATACATAAATGAAAAAAAATCAATAGTGAGAAACAATATATGTATGTTGTGTTGTCAATAGTAAAAGAAACAATTGAGACCCTGCAATTGTGTGTAAATGAGGCAGAAAGTCATAGATCCCAATACAATGAAAATTAATCCTAGTGGGTGGGTTAATGTGGGGCCTATTATGACTGGGGCCCGTGTGACCTGCTACACACGTCAGATGTACAGGGTGTCTCATAAGTCACGCACCAGAGTAAAATTATTATATATTTTTGTAACTGATCAGTGTAGCGTCATGCATAACGTACACCAATATTAAACTGATTCTTCCCTCTAGTGCTAACAACAACAACAATAATAATAACAAAAACGACAACAATAATAATAACAATAACAAAAGCGACAATAATATCAATAACAACGACATTAACAAAAGCGATAACAATAATAATAACAATAACGACAACAATAATAATAATAACAAACACGACAATAATAACAATAACAAAAGCGACAACAATAACAACATTATCAACAACAATAATAACAGTACTAACAAGGTTTAAACCCGAAGTACAGTACATTAATGTTCCTGCGGTGTATGAGAGAGAGAGCCCCTGTTGGTGGGGTGCAGGAGTCACGGTTCCCTACAGCAACACTCTCCCACGCCCTCGTCACCAGTGGGCGTTGTCTCTACACCCTCCCACCCTCCTTTGTTCCACTCACCACACCATTCTGACGTCACCAACCATTATGACATTACCAGCTATTAAAACGTCACCTTCCATGCAGACAACCCTTCTGACGTCACCAACCATACACTCAACCCTACTGACGTCACCAACCATACACTCAACCCTACTGACGTCACCAACCATACAGTCAACCATCCTGACGTCATTTCTCTCACCCCCCTCATTTCATCAAATATTTCAATTCTTTTTCTTTAATGCAGTTTTGAACTCAGACATTTTGGTATAGTAAAATTAATATCAATTGACCATGTTTCCCCACCCATAACTTCTTGGTTTTTATATTCCTAGATCCGCCCCAGTCTTCTGCCTCTCCTCCACTTTCTCCTCCGTCTTATACATTTCTTCTCAATTTCCTCTCTTCCCTTCATTTCCTCTTCCCACCTCTTCATCCTTCTCCCTCTCACCTACTACCACCACCTCCTCTCCTTTATCTCATTAGTACCCTCCACCTTCTCTCCCTCTCTCCTACCTCTCCCCACCACCTTCTCATCCTCTCCCCTACCTCCTCTCCCTACCACCTTCTCCCCTACCACCCAAAATTTAACTAGTGTACCTGGGAGCGCTCATGGTCAGCCCGTCGGGAGAAACAGACGCCATGAACAGACCGCTCACTGTAAACAGACGCCATGAACAGACCGCTCATTGTAAACAAACTTATCAGAGGCGTTTACAAATATCAATATAAATAAACAAATACACTTAAGCCCTGAATACGATGATTTAACCCACTGAGTACGATGATTTAACCCCATGAGTATGATGATTTAGCCCCGTGTACGATGATTTAACCCCACGAGTATGATGATTTAACTCCGTGTACAATGATTTAACCCCACGAGTATGATGATTTAACCCCACGAGTATGATGATTTAACCCCACGAGTATGATGATTTAACCCACTGAGTACGATGATTTAACCCCACGAGTATGATGATTTAACCCCACGAGTATGATGATTTAACCCGTGTACGATGATTTAACCCACAGGTATGATGATTTAACCCCACGAGAGTATGATGATTCTTGATATTACGATGGTTGCAACCCACGAGTATGATGGTTAAACCCAGCAGGTGATGATTTGACCCCGTGTATGATGATTTAACCCCGAGTATGATGGTTTAACCCCACGAGTATGATGATTTACCCCCACGAGTATGATGATTTAACCCCACGAGTATGATGATTTAACCCCACGAGTATGATGATTTAACCCCACGAGTATGATGATTTAACTCCGTGTACGATGATTTAACCCCACGACTCCACAAGTATGATGATTTACCCCCACGAGTATGATGATTTAACCCCATGTACGGTGATTTAAGCAGTTTATTTAAAATGCGATCATGAAAAATTAAACAAAAAATATTGAGTTATTTAATGTGGGTCGATATTAATATCCTCATTATCCAGTACAGTATAGATCTTGACCGCGGGAACTGGCGCAAACCAACCGTGCGGAAACGATATGCTGGTCTGAGACGCTCTAGAAAAACTAACAATTCATTCAGTTAGCATTAGGGTGTTTTATTAAGATGAAGTAAACTGGGGTGTCTAATCTTCAGGTCAACCCCAAAGATAAGAACAAAAACTACACCGTGCCAAAAGAGAAATAAAGTTACCTAACTGTTTCCAAACCCTTTTAACTCTAAATCAAGAAGGAAAACACTTTACCTGAACCGTCAACCAGAATACTGTGTAGTCGTGTCAAGGCAGCGCCGGAGTGTGAGAGAGTTGCCTCGCGCCATTTGTCATGGTTATTGATCTCTGGACCTGAAATGAAAAGACGTTATTTTTAATTTACCGCCAAAACCGGACTCGTGGATAAAAGAACTGTTGGTATTTATGTCTATTAGAACCTTAATGGCCAGATTTATATATAAACTTACACGAGTGACATTTATTAACTAGAAATTCGAATATTATTTAAGGAATAGTTATGGTTCTCAGGAAGGAATTATTTTGCTCCTTTGAGTACGACGATGACAACTCCTTTAGTCACCTAGTCATCATGTTGAAGGGGTTGTCATTATACTCAACGGGTTAAAATAATAAAATCATTATACTCACGGGGTTAAATCATCATACTCATAAGGTTAAATCGTCGTGTTCAAAGGGTTAAGTTATCGTACACCAAGGAGTTAAATCATCGT